TCATATATAATTAAACATACTATTGCAACTTTCGAGTCTCATAAGCAAAATTAATTGTATATGGAAGTGAGATCTTAGAGTTTGTTTTGTTCTCGATTTGAGTTTTAATTATTAACATTTAAACGATGGGTTTTTTATCATGAATCCAATCCACCTTTTTGGAGCGTCCGAAATGAATACAATGGAGTGGCCTTGTTTAGATTCAGGAGTGTTCTCACCAAGTCATGGCGATACTTTCTAAGGTCATCCGTTACAAATATTCTGGAGGGGCGACCCTTTAGTTTCTTTTTTGCAATGTAGACCTGGGTTTTGGCAGTTGACATTAATTATATCTTTAATTCCTCCTCAATTCTACTACAAGTCAGGGCTACCTTCTTCTAATAAAGCTTGTATACTATACGCCTGATCACACTGTATCAAAGCTGTCTAATATCCTTATACGCCCAAGTATTGTTTTGAGACCATCCTATAACTGTTTTGTTTTATTTATCACACCGTAGACTTGATGGTATGAATTGAAAACTATATAGCTTGGGCAGTACGGTAATTCACCCTATCTAAATTATCTAATCTATCTGTTTTCACTCTATCTCACTAAAGTGTAAAGAACTTGTATACATTTTCCCAATACAGACTCCATATCGTAAACTATTGATATGCAAGTGTAATGTAATCATTATGGGAATCATTATGGGCATCATGGGAGCAATGTTAACAAAACAAACGCAGCGTCCATTTTGCCATTTTAGAGATGCACATCTAGAATTTTCTAAAAATTGAATTGTGTGTGTGGATTAGATATTTAATGAAGGCTACATTATTATCATTATAACGGAGACACGTGCGCATATTTCTATAGTCCGTTTCAGACTGCCATCATTGGACTTTCCTTTTTTCGATCGAATTTGTCTCCTGTAAACTTGTCGATAGCACTCCTTGTGACTGAAGTATTTCAAACCACAGGAAGGTCGATCGGTAGTTACTAGATATATCAATAACAACAGTCTGTGAAAAACTATATCCTTTTTTAAGAAGTTTTCTAGCATTTCCGACAGTACCTTAGTCATGCCTACGCCGTAACGGAACTGAACGAAAAAGGGTCGAACAGGTGACGGACTCTTACGAAGGTTACGGGTAGGCATAGTGTACGGACACCTACGAATAATCCCGATGCCATTTGGCACACTCGTCCCATTCCGTAATCTCCAAAGTACGGAGTGGTGAGGAATGAGCCGCTATGGCGAGAACTGGAAAGGCTTTTGGCGTCAGGTGTCAGATGTTGAACTCGAAGATACCCAGGAATGACATGGGATTTACTAATTCGTCGGGTGAATTTTGTGACAGAAAAGTGTGGTAAGGATAACTGTAGGGGACGAGGGTTGCAGAGTTTGCTTTTGAATCAGTACTGAATAAATGTAGCGGGGGAAAGTGGCTTGTGAATGTTCCAGGACAGTTTCCAATAGCCAAGATATTTGACACTAAACCATTTCATCCTTTTTTTCTCTCGACGTATTTGCCTGAAGTATATTAGGAGCAGCTATAGAATACATACTAGCCACTAAACGGGTGCTTAACACTAATGATCATAAAGGGGATCCTACCCTAACACCAGCGACATTTGGATGTGTTCAGTGCCAATTTAATATTACCTAATAAACTGCATTTCTGTGCATAATAATGAAAATCAATGAATCGATAAAATAATATATGTATATAATTTGCCATTTGTCATCATTTAAGCCACTTGAATATCCCCCCAAAAAATAAACAAATTAGGTGAGGTGAGGTGAAATTGGGTCTAACGTCGCGTCCAAGATTATTGCACTTATATAGCGACGTGCATGCACGTGTGTGTGTGTGTGTGGCTGCTCGTACTAGTCCGGACTGATGCCGATTTATAGTGCTAGCCCACTGAGATACCATGCCGCAGTTTAACATGGATACCCCACTCAGACACAGTATGCTGACTCCGAGCCGACCAGTCCTTGTTTTAGCCCCTTAATGCCGAGTGCCAGACAGGGTAACAACAAGTACCATCTTTTAACGTCTTTTGGTATGGCGCGGTCGGGGATCGAACCCCGGACCTTCCGCTCTCCGGGGGACGCTCTACCACTAGACCACGGAGGCTTTCGAAACATAAATGAAAACAGTTTAGAAAATAAAAGTGCTTTCATAAACTAACGCTTGCTATAGAATGCGCTGCCGCAGGCTATATTTAGTAAACACATATTCAAAACTCTCAACATCGCTGGGCGTATTCACTGACATTGCGTGTAGAATTTGGGAAGCTAATGCACACTCGGTGACCCCTGACGTGACAGGGTATTGTTTAGCCGGTGTGACTGGCAACAATCTACTACAAACTACGTCATAGTGTATTGTTTGAAAAAGTTTGTGGTTATGAATTCTGAAGGTAGGCTGGGGATAACTATTATCTATAGGGAAAACTTGAGCTCGATGGAGTTGTTATTTATCGACATTATTGAATTAACGACTTTCCTTTTCAACAGATATTGTCAACGTTTACATATCTAAATTTTAGCGTCCGTGTTTACTATGATTTTGTATTTAGTTTCAACAAACTCAGAAAAAGCGCTATAAAGCGACTTGATTTCTGACCCATCACTTTATTGCCTGGTTTCTTTACGTGCTGCCGTCGCATGGCAGAAGTTTTGTTTTGTTTGTTTGTTTTAATACGCTACACTCAACAGTAATACTCCAGTGACATTATATTTTACTGGGTAATCATAATATAATAAAAAATAAAATAGGCCCTCATTGATAAAGCGAGTATAACCTTTCCGAAAACACCCGGTAAAACATCACTATGATACAGTTGGACATGTACACTGTACTCGTTTAGTTGGGATTTCTTATGATAATGGACATGTTTTGTCGCTATTATGTTTAAGATCGTGTATAGATATTTTCTCTCCAACGAAACACTGCTTACATTCAACAAAATACAAAAGTGGCGTAACCCAATAAAGCAAAACATGGAGCTATATAATAAAATGAGCAACAAGGGTAACATCGATTCAATGCTGAACATGTTGAGAATTCGACATTTTGTCTGGACATAGTCTTGACTATGTGGAATACAATAAACACTGAATTGCTTATAATACATATTTTTAATTCCTTGAAAAATGATATTTGGAGGAGATGTGACATCATAACACTAACGTATTTGAAGCAGAAGTATTATTGGATATCTAGTCTATAAAGATGATACTATTAGTTCTTTCTGTTCTTCCCTTTAATAAAATATTTCACAGAACAAACAAATTATACTATACCACTTGAAAATACGCATGGTAACAGGACAAATTGCCTAGACTGCACATCTGAAAAAATGTCCATTTGCTTTGGGAAGAAGGTTTAGTTTCAAACATGATATGTAACTCTATTTTTCGAGTAATGCAAGACAGGATCATGTTTCAGCAATATTGCTAATGCTGTCAATCTGGGCTAGTATGCTATATATTTATATCCAGGATGTCTGCTGGTATGCTTTTGTAATCACTGTGGAACGCGGAATGTATTGGAATGCTTCAAGACATGCATTCGGCCAAATTAACGACGATAAGAAGTGTCATAGCGACTGATTTACGACTACCATTGTCTGAAGTACATTTGACTCCAAAAGGCAAATTACCCTGTAGCCATGGCTCCATAACTTAATTGTCATTACGTTTTAGGCGCTAATCCCCGTTGTTAATCCTCACCAACAATTCCATGTATTTTGACTGTCAGTCAGCCTGGACTACCATATCACTTCCCTTTAACTACTGTTTTTTTTATAGTATGGCATTTATTGGCCTAATTGATCATCCCATGAACTGTGTTGGTTAATCACGCCCATATGTCCAATGTCCAAAGCAACGTCATTGTCTCTTTGTCTGTCCATTGTTGTTCATTACTATATATGTGCTACCATTACACAGTTACTACGGTGTTAGTCAGGCTTGGTATTCCGAGTGCTGGCATAGGGACGACCTCGAGCAGGATGTGCCGCTCGTAGGAAACGCCCTGTGTTTGTGTTGTCAGAGCAGGTATTCCGCTCATTTTGCAATTGTTGTTTATTGTTTACATGTTGTGCATAAAGCGTTCCGGGACAGTGATGTCGATTTTGTCCTTTATTCCCACAAGAGCTAATTCCCCGTCAACGTGCGCGTTGACAGAAGCACCACTGCAGCTGACCATCATGGACTAGAAGTCCAAAGAGTGAGCAGCACCACAACGCTCTGACCTAAAATGTCACTGCATTGCGTTGCACTCGTTGCGTGATAACATAGCACATACATTGAGATAAACATGAGCACATTCTTATTCATTTTCTAAAAACACGTCAAACCTTCATGTAGAAGTTATGCTGCATGCAGTTAACATGTTTGAAAAAAAGTAAAATACTATCAATGATACTGTTTTGCAAAAAGACACTATGTGATTTCCCATTATGTATCTCTAAAAGGGTAGGAAGTACGTGCGATTAGATAACTTAACACCTTTCTCATTTTGACAAATGCATTAAATCATCAGATCTGAAACAAACTGCCGGGCAACAAAAGTATATGCTAAGAGTGGCTAACATGAAACACATAAGAAATGTTTTTTGATAGTGATGAATATCGGTTACAGTGTTTCGTCGACTGTTTTCATCCTAGTAACATTTATTTTACCATTTGTAATGTGTTGGTCAAATACAAGTTTCACATCTGCCAAGTAGTTCAAGGACAATTTAATATTCTGAATGCAAAGTGATATCCTTAAATATTATTCTAATTCAATGCAATTCAATGCAATGAAATGTGTGTGATGTTCCTGGTATTTTCGAACTTGTTCTGGTACGTGTCTGCCGAAGAGAAGTATGTACAAATGTGATTTAACACTGGTCTATGTACTGACAACGAGTTCAATCAGTTCTAGGACATGCAGTTTGAACGTTGTATGCGTGTTAATGAGAGGAATTTACTTCCGAACAACAGCTTAGAACTTACTTGTAGTGACGAGATTACAAGATGCACTAGGTCCATCTGGGATGATTTTGCATGTCCACCTCCCTGCATGATATGGTTGTATACTCAGTATCCTGAGTCTACTGTAGGTTGCGTTGACGACACTTGCATTATATCCTTTAACAGGCGTGCAATATTTGTTTTCTGCTATACACTGTGGGGCATTTACGTTACCGGGCCCAGAATACAGGAGAGTGACTAACGGTACCGACATTGAACAATTCATCAGAGCAGAGTCCTGAACGTAGGATATGTCAGGGCAGGTAAGCTCAGCTGTGGTACCTATGTCAGTCAGAGAAAAAATAAATCATAACACACTCGAAAACATACAATTCATGCTTAAAATGCGTGGCAAGGTAAATACGGATGTATCCCCTGATTTCAACCTTATGCCTGGTAGTTTGCTATGAGTCCAAGCAGCATAATACTTGATGGACTTGATATTCGATGGGATATAAATGGGTTCATACTTTGCTATTGTACTGAAGTCAAATACAATTTGCTAAGAACACCAGAAGGCACATAAATGTACTTTATCAATTCCTGGTAAAAAACAATGGAAATGGAAATTGGAAAGCCAAATATTGAGAAAGTACCACTTTATCACTGTTTTCATGTTGAAAAATATTTAGTTCAAAGTTACTCACGGTATTCCACATTCATGTTGCAGAGAACCACACACAAGCAGATTAAGGTTGTTATGTCAACTGACTGCCTCATCTGTAAAATAAAATGTTATTATAAGTAGAAGTTCCTTCCCCCTACATGGCAGTGTCTGTATTCCACACACATTCACATCGAGAACACTTGACTGAATTACATTTGTGTATCTGAACTTTAAAGTTCTATCCAGTTTTACCGGACACATTTTGTCAACATTGTTTTATGAATAATATATTGCATACACAACATATGCAAACTTGAGTAACTGAACGGAGGATAGGATACTATGCCACATTTAGCAATCGTCAAGCTGTACAAGGGCACTATCGAAAGGTTGCACACACTGTAAGTCAATGGTAAATGGAGTCAGTATGTCTCCTGGTTCACACAAAACAAATACTAAACGAACGTGTTTGAAACGCAGAGTGACATAGATATGTGTAGTGTAAAGTAATGTAGGCTGTATGTTCAATAAAGGAGGTTTGTACTTACAGTAAGATGTGTCCTCATTGTACAGCCGTCAGATCATTTACCAGCACAGTGCTAGCTACAACTAACGTTGGAGACCATGTGAAAACATCTGTACAGGAAAGTGTGCATGTAAGCAAATGTTGGTGATCTGAAATTTCTTCCTTGTCCGGTTACACGCAGTTTAGAGGATGTTTATGTGAGGTTTTCATCCTAGCCAGCAGATGGTTTATATGATGTCATGTTGGCTATGAGGTTTCATACGAGTCAGCGGATGGTTTATATGATGTCATGTTGGCTGTTTGATTTCATACGAGTCAGCGGATGGTTTATATGATGTCATGCTGGCTGTTTGATTTCATACGAGTCAGCGGATGGTTTATATGATGTCATGTTGGCTGTTTGATTTCATACGACTCAGCGAATGGTTTATATGATGTCATGTTGGCTGTTTGATTTCATACGAGTCAGCGGATGGTTAATATGATGTCATGTTGGCTGTTTGATTTCATACGAGTCAGTGGATGGTTTATATGATGTCATGTTGGCTGTTTGATTTCATACGAGTCAGCGGATGGTTTATATGATGTCATGTTGGCTGTTTGATTTCATCCTAGTCAGCAGATGGCTTATATGATGTCATATTAGCTGTTTGATTTCATACGAGTCAGCAGATGGTTTATATGATGTCATGTTGGCTGTGTGATTTCATACGAGTCAGCGGATGGTTTATATGATGTCATGTTAGCTGTTTGATTTCATACGAGTCAGCAGATGGTTTATATGATGTCATGTTGGCTGTGTGATTTCATACGAGTCAGCGAATGGTTTATATGATGTCATGTTGGCTGTTTGATTTCATACGAGTCAGCGGATGGTTTATATGATGTCATGTTGGCTGTTTGATTTCATACAAGTCAGCAGATGGTTTATATGATGTCATGTTGGCTGTGTGATTTCATACGAGTCAGCGAATGGTTTATATGATGTCATGTTGGCTGTTTGATTTCATACGAGTCAGCAGATGGTTTATATGATGTCATGTTGGCTGTTTGATTTCATACGAGTCAGCGGATGGTTTATATGATGTCATGTTGGCTGTTTGATTTCATACAAGTCAGCAGATGGTTTATATCATAATATGTTGACTATTTGATTGCATACGAGTCTGATATATTCGTCTTACTGTTTAGTTACGCCATCTGTTCATTTGTTCAATTTCGAATCGTGAAAGATTTACGACACGAGATTGCATCGGTTGACATTAGGATATTTGTGGAAACGGTTTAGTTGCAACAAGGGGCGCTACTAGAATTTTCAACACTTAGTACAAGGCCCAAAGTAGAGTGAATAATTTACGCCATTTAGAGCAATATTCCAGCAATATCACTGAAGGGGACATCATAAATGGGCTTCACACATTGTACCAATGTGGGGGATCGAACTGTGTCTTTGTCGTGACGAGTGAACGCTTTACCCACAAGGCTACGCTCCCCCGAACAAGTGTATGTGAATCAGAAAGAAACAGTGGTGAGACCAGGGGCCGTATTTATCAAACAACTTAGTTTTGACTTAAGAAAAAACTTAAGTTTCTGAAAAATTACTTAGCCAAGTCAAAAACTTAAGTTGGTATTCACGAAGCGTCTAAGTAAAAAACTTAGCTAAGTCTGCCGTGAGAAACTAAATCGATTTCACCGAATGCAAACACGTGATCACTAAGGACTATCCCAGCTATTTTTAGCCTACCAGTGGAACTCTTTTTACTAAGAGAGAGAAAAACGTCATCGGGGAATTCCCGGACAGTGCAGACGATAATAAACACCGCTGCGAGCTCCAAGATAGGCCCACGCCATGACCGAAGACGCGAAAAAGAGACGGCCAAACTTTACCAAAGAAGAATCGTTACTACTAGCAGAGCTGGTGGCATCAAACAAGTTGGTGATTGAAGGAAAGTTTGGCCCCGGCATCACCTCCTTGAAGCGACAGGAGGCGTGGCAGGTACGTGAGGTAGTGAATGTTTTTTTTTAATGTTTTTTTTTAGAGGTTTAGCTGCTTACATCATTAATTTTACATACATATGTAGCAGACAAGGCCGTAATGCGTATCAAGGAATGCATGTGGTCGAATAATAACCAAGACGTTTTCTAACCTTCCATCATCACACTTCATAAGTCCAGTACCACGGGAATGATATATTTTGGTCATATTTAGACACTGAGACCGAAACAATTATTTTCGTCTTTTTCAAGTTGCACTGTGGTTTGTTTCTTCATCGGGGTAGGCCTATTGTCTGTACCCCGAACAATTTTTACCCAAAATTTTCGGTGATTTTGAACCCAAACCAGTAGCCTAGATCTATGTCATTTTGTACTCCTTTTGGGGCATTTGCATTAGCTTTTAAAGTATACATTAGTCCTAGGCCTCATGTTAGTATCCTAAAGTTACATTACTATCACTTTCATGTCAAAAGCATACAATTAAGTTAGTTTAACTAATTTAACAATAACTTATTACAGGGTCAAGATGTCATTTCCATATCAAGACCAATCAATGTGTTCCTATGCATTATTTAGTAATAAATATATTGTGATGGATCTCATACAACCTCGATCTAGTGCTGCATAGTCATATTATGAACTTGATGAAATGTTATATTATGTAATACACATATACTCTTGTTTACAATATTAATGTAAAACATATATGACAATATACTGAAATATGAATAATATTATTTTCTTAGTAACACAGTCCCATATAATTTTGGGTCTAAACAGCTTTGCTAAAACTGGGCTTTGGATACAAAATATGATACATATCGCAATACTCAGTTCATGATACAATATCACTTCAATTTTTATATTTCAATGGACATAAAAACTATTAAAAGGCTTAAAACATCATGAATAATTGGTCTCATGTTTAAAATCTCTTTTCAATCAGTACTTTATTTCAGAAATCAATTTGAGTGTTAATACCACAAGGACAGAAATTAAGTCTTAAAACTGTGTACAATGTACAGTGTGCATATAGCATGATGTAATACTGACAACAATTATTAATGTAATTTGATGTGTTTTTCATTTGAGTTGTTATGTTTATATTGCAGATGATTACAGACACCCTCAATGCAAGCTTAATGCACAGGAGGACCAAGGAGGAGGTTGAAAAGAAATGGAAAAACCTGAAGAGCCAGTCAAAGAAAGCCTTTTCTAATTTCAGGCAGCAAACCATTGCTACTGGTAAACATACTTATGGATACATTAGTTTAGTTATTAAATAGTTTTGATAAAAAAGGTGACCTAAAATGATATAGTTAATGTGAAAGTGGAAAAAGGATATTGTCATTCCTTCACAGTTATTATTAAGACCTACATTGTAACTCGTTGCTGTATATTAAGAGTATAATTATACCAACACAAACCTATCTCAATGTTTGAAGGTCAAAAGAATACTTGTCTCTATATTGTGTTGGTTTTGTGATATGTTTCTAAATACTATAACACCATTCACACTATAATCTATACTGCTTCTTGCACTTACAGGAGGCGGTCCACCTCCCATCCCTGTAAGTCCTGTCACAGATGCAGTTGTAGAGGCCATAGGGAGGGACAACATGTCTTTGACAGGAATATCCAACTCCTGTGATTCAACAGCCCTACAACTGCTTGATGTCATGACATCAAGAGAGAGGTACAAATGACATAAATGTTGATGTTAATCATTTTGATATTGTACTTACATTATTGCATCACTTAGTATTTCATGTTTGTCAGCTTTGTTATATACTCCCCAAAATATATTTATGAAATCAAAATTTAAAGTATACTCCTTTAAAGTTCTTTCCCAATGTGTCTGCCACAGGCAGTCAATTTGCAATTATTGACAAGTCTCTGTATAAAAACAAAACACAAGGCTCCGAATACACAAATAATGTATATATATTTCTTTCAGCGGTGAAGTTGAGGACATGGCCAATGTGTTCCACGTGCCAAAGAGGACTTGCCAGTGCCAGAATCAGACTTCTATTGAAGCATTAAACAAAGAAAAACTTGTATTAGAAATTGAATGTTTAAAATTAAGAAAAGAGTATCTAACAAAGAAAATTTACAAAGTAGAAGAATAGACTGTAAGTGGGGACCGACCATTTGATATTTGCTTGGGGGTAGGGGCTAGTATTATATTTTGTATCAAGATTAGATAGTTTTTCAGCTACAGACACATATATCGTTATATTTAAAGATACATGTATGAGCTAAATGTTTTTAGAAAAACACCTTGCAACAATGTATTTGTCCCACCCACCCCCGAATATCAAATGGGCTGCCCCTTAGGAAAATTTAAATTAATACTAAGTGCATACTTAGAGTGCCAAATAATAGTAGCAGGAAATAACTTACATGGAAAGTAGGTGATTGCAAACTGTTCCCTATATCTCAACCCTGTTGCTGCAGGTGCAATGGCTGATAGACCTTGCATCTGTGCCCTTAGCTGTCCGGATTGGCTGTTTCCATGTACAACTGGCATAGGCACATTCCTGTCTTTGCTGAGGTTATGCAGCACTGCACAGGCAGTTATTACCTAGAAAAATGTTTAAAAAGCATTTTCAATACCCTTTCATGAACTGATGTGGCCTGAATCTAATGACAAATATTTCTAGAATATGTTGAATTTGACAAAGAGTGAAATGTATGGTCTGTATTTCAAATATGTTATACTATGTACTGTTTGATCTCAGATATATTTGCCTAATTTTTTCCCTTAAGCTAGATATAAAATAAGTCAAAAGAAAATGAATATTGAACATCAATACAGATACAGATTATGAAATTGCGTTGACTTTTTTTACAATAACACATGACAGTGAGTGAGTGAGTGAGTTTAATGTCATATTGATGAAATGTTACTGTCTTCGTTGAATAAAAAAATAATGTTCACCATATTGTGTTTGTTTATTTATCAACCTTCAGTATATCTAGTCCTGACAATAATAATGTGAAAAAGAAATAATTCCATTAAAGTGTAAGTCTATGAAGACATTTTCTAATTTCTATACCTTGCAAGCCTTCTGTGGGGAAAGTCTGATTTCCCCATGTAACGCATGAAACCGACGTTTCAGCTGCCCAATTCCCCTCTCCACACAACTCCTTGTTTTCTTATGTGATCTGACAATTGCAATGAATAATCATTATTAGCAGATAATCATATACAATTTAAATTGGGAGTATAAGAAAAAGAAGAACACATTTTGCTATGTTCTCAGCGATAGAAACTAACATTTTCAATCCATTGGTCATTATAATGACAACATATTGCAAACCCCTTAATATTGCTGTTTCTTGTTATGTGTGTGGTTATATTTCATAGAATCAATGCTTCATACTAGTATGTTTTCATACATAAAGAGAAGTGAGATAAAATAATTATTATTTCTTTTTGATGAATATATAATCATACATATGTTTTTACCTGATTTGCTACTTACATAATTTTACGACACTTAAGTAGGAATTAAACGGAATGATGCCTGAATAATACTTTACAGCAAATATGTGTAACTCTTCCATTCCGTTTTTAGGTTTGAGATAGTATTCTACCTAACCAGGGGAAGTCACTCTATTGCTGAGTGCTCGTAGTGAACTGAACGAAGTAATATTTATACCTGTTGTAGTTTGTCTGTGGTCCTTGGAGAGGACGCAAAAATGGTGTTAGGATCCATCTCCGACAAGGGTAGCCACTGTCTCCAAGCAGATGACAACTTACTGGTAGCCGGTTCCCCTCAAACATCCGACATAACCCACTTGTTGTCAAAATGCGGGAGTCGTGTGTTGAGCCAGGCCAACGTGCAACAATGTCGATTATACGATCGTCGCTGTCAAACACTATTTGAGTATTTACACTATGGTAATTATGCCTGTTGACAAATTCTTTCTCATTAACTGATGGGGCCTGAATCTGAATGTGGGTGCCATCAATTACCCCAACAATACCCGGGAAATTGGCAGTCTGATAGAAGCGCTGTTGATGGCGTCTTATTTCTTGGGGTTGTACAGGAAAGGTAACAAATCTACGAAGGATACGGTGACTTGTGAGGGAGTCAAGCGTTTGGAAAATCACCCGAGAGATAGTGGGTTGGCTCAGACCATGGTCATCACCGTTACACATTTGAAATTTGCCAGTGGCAAGATAACGCAAAGTGACAAGCACCTTCGTAACGCAGGACACGGCACAACTCCGCTGTGTTATAGGACTCAACTCCTGCTCAAGGATATCACAGATATAAACAATACTGTTCCTATCAAATCTGTACCGCTGTATCAGTTCATTGTCATCTAATGAATGTAGTATATCTCTTCTCTCATTAAATATTCTTGAATTGCGTCTGGCAGCCATTTTACATGACTTAAGTCAAACATACATGATTTAAGCCTAGCAAGGTGAGTCTTAATAGTTAAGTCAGAAAATGACAAAACTTAAGTCTAAGTCTCTTGTTAAATATGACTTAAGTTTTTCCACTTAACTTAAGTAAAAAAACAAGAAAACTAAGTTTTTTTAACTGACTTAAGTTTTATTTATGATTTAAGTTGTTTGGTAAATACGGCCCCAGGGCCCGGGATAATGAAACTAACTTAAGATCATATTTTGTGCTTGACTGTGTTGACGGCACCCAGATCAAAATCAAAACGCCAAAGGTCAACGAGGCTGACTTTGTCAACAGAAAAGGATTTCATTCTCTGAATGTTCAGGTACTTGAAATAAAAAATGATGTTTGTTTTCAAAAATGATTTTTCGTAAATTGAAAAATTTCCATAAACATTGAATTCATACACCTCCTGTAAATATATGTATGAATGATACTACAGTACAGGTCAGATTATAGCATTAATGTTAACTGAATAAAAAACAAGGTGTATGTTCACAAGGACAAATAATTTATTAATACACAAATAAATACAAAGCTTTCAAATGGATGTGTATGCAATTTCTAGCATCTGCAATACTAATTTGACAATACCCAAAACATATGTTTTGGTAAATTTGATACAAAATCCGCAAAATAATGGGTGTACATACAGGTACAGGGTGAGATTTCATTAAACAAATACAATACATCCCAGAGTTTGCTTTTGCTTCAGACCGTTGAAAAATATGTTGTTCGCTTATGCTTCAGACCGTTGAAAAATATGTTGCCTGACACAAAAAAAAATGTTGAAGGATGTTTTAAAACTGACAAACAAGATGATTTTTCATTCTCCCACCAATCATTCATATCATCAAACATTATTCATAATACAGATTGTATATTTCTTTTACATAGATGGTTTGCGACCCCAACTTTATTAATATAACTGTGTGGCCAACTGGCCTGGATCATGCCATGATGCCCGCATATTCAGAGAGAGCAAACTCTGCGCTAATTTGGAAAATGGTAAGTATTTGAGGGTTAAGTGAGGGTTAGTCATAAGAGATCTTGTCATTCTAGGTAGTGCAAGACAATTAATTTCAATACCTTTTACATGGGGCAATAATAAATAGTGACAAAATACATGTTGTATGTTTGTCGAGGTAGTGTGAGTCAGATACTGGACATTTTACAGAGCTATTTTGGATTTACAAATCCACATCAATCTAACATAAATTGCATTTCATTCAAGAGTGCACTCCCTTGATGTATTAAATAACAGTTGTATTTTATGTGAGCTCCTTTCACTCCAAATCCTCAGATTTTGCTTCTGAAATCCTGTAAAGTTCACTAATATATTTTACATAAATTTCATAAACCAGGATATGATGTTGATGTTGATCTAAAATAATGTTATGTCTCTATGGCACATATCATGATTTATGATCAATCTGGGAATATTGAAATTTAACAAATCCTTAACATACAGTAAACAAAACCCCTGCAAATTAGAATGTACCGGTAAGTATGTTTCCAATAGAAATTTTGCAAACATTAGTACATGTGGTCAATGATATTACCCACATGGTAAACCTCTACATACATATATCCAACTTTACAAGATATTCGTGACCCAATATGCATTCTTTATCCATATCCTTAGAAAATCAGTAAAGGTTTCCCTGAAATGTCAACCATAGTAAAAAGATTTATATGAATATAAGCATCTACATTCAGTGTTAACTCAAGTCCAAAACATCCCAAAGACTAATTACTATTAACATGGACATATATGATGACTACATTACCAAGTTTCTTGTCAAATTCATTTCATATTTTAAAATTGTAGGTAAAATTGGGCTCTTATCATAGTTGTCCTTTCTGAACTAAAGTTTAAAAACATATGAAAACAAATTGCACATATATATTTCAGGTGTTCATGATGGATTCCTGCTGGGTGACTCTGGATACCCCTGTGGACGATACCTGATGACTCCCTACCCCAACACTGGCAATATCAGACACAGAGACAGATACAATTATTCTCTCTGCAGAACACGTGTTCTGATTGAACAAACTTTTGGAATTTTAAAGAGACGATTTCCTTGTCTATCTTTGGGACTGAGAACCAATCGAACCAGAGCATGTAAATATGTTGTTTCCTGTGCAATTTTACATAACATAGGAATTTTGAAACAGGATATAGTAATTAATCATGTGGATGAGTTGACAGTTCAGTGTCCAGATCAGCAACAGCAGCAGTTTCGGAGAAATGATGGTTTTGGCATAAGAGACCACATTGCCCAGAGCTACTTCAGTTAGAAAAAAAAACACAACCTAAATCAGTCTACCAGATGGGCACACTAGAGAATATTTAAGGATAACAACTTATTCATTTACTGTAAAGGTAACATTTCTGAATAGATCCTTATACCGTTGTCAATCAAGACTGAATAATGACCATGGTACAGAATACTTATTGTTTATGGAGGATTAACAGTAACAACAATTGCATATGTCACAAAGATTAACATGAGTAGTTTAAACAACGACAACAGGAGAATAATACTGTAAGATCAAGATGGCCAGAGAACACATGAAGAGTTGTTATCCATAAATTGTCTCTTCTTTGTCAACTTCTAAGTAATGTGTACGAAACAATTTAATAGGTGGGCACTAATTATAAAAGATGGCATGACATTAAGGGCACATTATTCAATGAAAAATGGGTCAATTTGTCTAATTTGCAGGATTGTTAATTTTTGTTTCAGCTGAGCCAATTTTGTCTGCTCTTCTATAAGTATCCTGCTTTCCTGGATTCTCCGGAGCTCCTGCCTAAAAATTTCCTCCTCTGTAGTTAAATTTTTTTGTGGTTCGTGGATGCTGCTGTTTGACAAGAAGTCCTCTACCCCCAGGCTGGCCATGTTTATGTCCAGAGGTACTGCTGCTGATAATGCCTCCTCGCCTGTGTCCACTGATCCTGAAATATGTAAATACAAAACAGTTATTACACATAATTCTGTTGTGATTCCGTACCCAAAACATTGAAAATGCTCCATATATACACACACCTATGTAACTTAAACATGATGTAACATGTAATTAGTTCAGTGAAATATTCCACTGAAGTGTGAGTTAACATACAGGCTCCATACAAGCAGATTGAAATATTTCCCATGTAGGATATTTCTATAATTCATTAAGATATACATATATACATGTATTTGGACCCTGTACAACTGTGTGTGTGTGTGTTTGTGTGTGTGTGTGTGTGTGTGTGTGTGTGTGTGTGTGTGTGTGTGTGTGTGTGTGTGTGTGTGTGTGAATATAATGTAAAATTCACAATGAGAAGATTAAATTGAAGTATCTTTGAATTAGATAAGAAAAACATGACATTGGTAATAAAGGGTGATGAGATTCTCAGCTTTCTTATTAAAAAGTTAAACTATCCCATTGTGTTGTTCACACATATCATACCTCTAGCATAACTATGTGACATGGTTTATTGTGACATTTGGTTTTAGCCATCAATATGTTTTCAATTAATTGCATGGAGAGACAAAACATCTTATGGACGTGTAAGTTCAGTTTTACCTTCAGTATCTATGCCCCCTTCAATACCACATAGACTTGGTCTTCCCTCCATATTGTCCAGCACCAACTGCTCTGGCAGGGTAGGTGAGGCTGTACGAG